ACATAAAAACTCAAATCATGTTTTACCAAAGACAAATCAACAATTCATGATGCAACCGACGCGATCTACATGATACCATGTAAAGATTGCTCAAAGCAATACATAGGAAAAACATCAGAGAAAATCGTAATAAGACTCACAGAACACAAAAACGCCATAAAACGACGAGATCCGAACTCACTACCGGCAGAACATACGTATGCAAATAACCACACCTTCGAGGTGACAGGAACTAAACTACTCACACGTGAGCTTAAAGAAGCTTGGTACAGTACAAACAACGACAAAATAAACAGACATATTGACATACCCATCATATATTCACAACTAAAGAAAAAGAACAAAAACTACAAACAACAACAAAACTACAACATTACGCCCTAATAATATTAAAACCAATTATATTCACAATACGCCAGAACCCATGACAACGCATTCCACACCGTCCAATCATATTAATCCACCAGCTAATCCAATTAGACGCTCCAAATGTCTACAAATTAAAAACAGTTGTAAATAACTTCCTGTATATTTCTGATGAAGGCTCAAAGCGCCGAGTCGAAAACTCGATAAAAAAATCATTTTTAAATCCAAAGAAAGTTTATTTTACAATAAGGGGAGTGAGTATAAAAACATTTTCTTTCTCTCTCTTCCTTTGTCCAGATGCCATTATCCATTGATTGATAAAACACATAATATGAGAAGTCAGACCAATCATTTACATTACCTTTTTAATCATTTCATGACACGTCTTTCCTCTAGTGCTATAATGAATTATTGTATTTACAAGCATTAGTTCCTCACTAAGCTATATTGCTACCATCTCCTAGTAAATTTTGAGCTTACAACATATAACTGTAGAAAAAAAATGATTGATGTGAAATTTGATGAATCGTGACTACTGTCTGAAAATATATGGTCTGCATAAAGTTTTATAACGTGGGATAAAGAATTCATTAGTTTTGGAGAAAGTTACACGCTCAGGGACAAAGTTGTATACCGTGTGATAGAGTTGTTCAATATGGAATAAGGACTGCAATTGTTTGGGATTTAAGCAATCATTGTCAACCACAATGCAATGCGCGCCTCTTGTTTGTTTATATTAATGCTAAATATGATAATTTATTCCATCACACGATGAACTTTCTCTTTTATTCTTCGTCATAACTTCCAAATGCCAAGTAATTATTTGAATACCAAGTTTTGGTCTTCTTCTTTAAGGCATGTTTTCAACCGTTGAGCTTGCCATAGTTTTAAATAATTGTTAGTCGACTCAAACAGATAAGTTTATGAAAAAAATAACTAATAAGCTTCTAAAAATCCTTTTTCATCAAATATCGACACAAAATTTTATACATCCCCAAAAGTTTGCATAGAATATCCACGCTTACAAACTGATACAACGTTTGTCTACTTATTCAACCAAAAAAATGTCCGCCAAGTTTATTTGAGCGCGCATTGCATTTGGTTGACAATAATTCTTTAACAAATAGATTACATTTAACCGTTTTAATCGTGGTTTATAGCTACAATAGTTTTCAAAATAGCAAATACCATGGTGAATGGTGATAATAACAATGTGATAGCTCTTAAAAGAACTGTTTTAACCAGAACACTAACCCAACAATTCAAAGGAACCGTTATTTACAGCTAGAAAGAGACACTATGCATTTCGGCAGACTACTCGTCAGGTGTCAACGTCTGCTAAATGAGAACCTCCAAATCATGCTATATTTATAATGTTACAGAAGGTCAATGTCATTCCTATTTTTAGAGATGACACTTAAAACAGAAACGGATTAAACACGTAATCCTTTTGTCGGCAAAGGATAGGATTAGTCAATTTAATAAATACCGACTCCATGACGCCTAGCTGGAATAACAAGCGACATTTTTAAATAATTTTAAAGTTTTCATCAGAATAAGCATTGGCACAGCGAGTGTTGCCTAAAAGATGTTTTCCAATCGCTGAATCACATAGAATCGGAATTTCAATTTTACACCCACATTTTGGTAGTTGTCGTAAAGGAACAGTCTTATTTCTGACAGACGCTGGCACATGCTGTTTTATTATTTCGCTCAACCTTTGAGAAGTCTTACCTACATAGTGAGCATCACACTCACATTTAAATTCGTAGACTACATTGCTTGATATTTGAGCAGGAGAGACTCTTTGGGAGTGGCTGGAAGAATAGTTCTTTTTGAGAATATAAAGAACACATTGCATGCAAAAAACAAATTCTCAGTCATATTTTTAGTTTCCTTCTCGATGCCATTAGAGAACTTACCCATCCAGGGAAGTTTAAGGAAAACTGGACACTTGGCCGGTCCGAAAAGTTTATTCCGTTCATTGTTAGTGGATAAGAAAAGTTTGTCTAGCAACTTTTCTTGATATCCATTTAACACAAAAATATTCTTCAGTGAGATAAGATCACTATCAATAAACTCTTTTGAGGACAATCTATGCGTTCGCTTTATCAAACACTTCACAAAAGAAATCTTTTCTCAATGCGAAGAGATAGATACAAACCAGTGAAAGTTGCTTTGCGATCAATGCTTTTAAGAACTGACCATTGCGTTTGTGTACAAGAACATCTAAAAAAGCTAATTGATTGTTTGACTCTAGTTCAGAGGTGTAATTTAGTGCACGGTGAAGAGAGCAAAGTTTATTAAGAAAAAGTTCACGATTTTTATCGCTATGAAACAAAGAAAAGGTGTCATCCACATAACGCTTATGCCACAGCACATCCGGACAATCTGAAGATGCAAGCATTTTGCATTCATTATAGCCAACAAAAATATTCGCAAGAACCGGTCCGAGTGGAGAACCCATAGCCACCCCGTCAATTTGTTTATACATGGTGTCATCAAAACTAAACTCCACACCCTTTGTGGCAGCCATCATTAATTCTCTAAAGGCATTCTCAGACATATCCGGCAAAGTCATGTCCGAGTGAAAAAGATTTTGAGCACAAATTTCAATGGTTTCTTCTAAGGGCACATTAGTGAAGAGACTAATTACATCGAAAGAACACATCGTTAGATTAGAATGCATTGAAAAATTTTGTTGTTTAAGCATCTTATTGTTAATCCAAGCTTAATAATATATTTTTGTGGGTAGCTTGCTCACAGGCTAACTACAATGTTATACTAAAAAATGTTCAGATGTCCAGGTGCTAGGATGGCAATTCACGAACTGACACGACTACATGACGATGATGCGTTACGGAAAATATTCGAAAGTATAAAATTAAGGAAATTCGTAAACTTTTACTGGCAATAGTTGAAATAAACATCTCAAAATATCATACAGGTATATTAAAGGTTAGTATTAATACTGAACATCAATCATCTCTAATTCAAGACCTCCAGTAAGATTAAAAATAGAAATAGAAATCTATAAAATTCTGTTGTGAAAATTTTCTATTGAAGCAGAAAAAAAATTAAATTTTTGTTAAAATTTTTGAGATTTCTTGAGGACGTCTCTACTCTTTTTATAGTGGCTAGCCTACTTAGCAGGTCTATTGAGTCATTGACTGAAGTCTCTCAAACAGACTTCTGACTTGTTTCAGTCATTTAAGTCATCCTTCCATAGAGCGCGAGCTAATAAACTAGTAAGACGGATTTTAGTTTGTGGTATTTGGAGACAAAATTATCATTTTTGTTGATAAATGATCTATATTATTTTGGTTATCATTACAAAAATATGACCCTCGGAATTCTCTAGTGATTTCTCATTTAGTTTATTAAATATCAGTCATTTACGCTAATTTTCTAATAAAAGCCTTAAAACATAAATCAAAACGATTAAAAATATCAATTATTGCATGGTCGTACGAAAAACTGGTAGCTACTTAAAATGGTTATGCAACGAATTTTTTACTTGTGTTTTTCATGGCTTATTGAAATATTTGGCTTTTTAGAAGCAATTTGATGTATAAATGACTTTCATACGTTGAGTAGAAGTTAACTAAATTTAACTCCAAACTTCGTTCTTTCGTGCGAAATTTATTGCCGCCATGTTTGTTTGTGGTGACGTAGGAAAAGAGTACCGCCTCCTAATTACTTTATAGTATTTATTATAGCGTGCGAGGTATATGCCGTGATTTTACAAGTTTTTTAATGGTAAAAACCAAATAATTATGTTTGAAATCAAATCAGAGTTTTTTTAATTCGTATTATTCATTTATATTGGTAAAGACCTCTTAAACAGTACTTAATCACAAAAATTTTAAGAACTCATCATACTATTGATATTACCTCTAATACAATTCATATAAGTGCATTAGCAATTGTGTGGCATATAGATGAAAATTTTTTGTGGACCACGACCAATCTTTTGGACAAAAATGCATAAAATGTCGAAACAAGAACTGATGAACGGTCACAATCCTTCTATAGACAGTAATAGAAAGAAATAACAATAGATCACCAACAACTAGTGGTAATGTTGATTCAATGAATAATATATCTTTTTACATAAATTGTTTGAAGTTTAAAAATAAGTGATGAATAAAGCAAAGTAAATATTTTCACTTATTTGTTAATTATGAAGTGCAATTTCAATATTGCCAAACATATTTGTTGGAAGGTATAATGGAGAATAGATCTTGCATGTATTGAATACATAAACTCAAAATTTCAAAAAAGCAAACTTTATAATTTGAATAATTTCATTTTAATGTAATATTGCCATTTTTTCATTCCGTTTGGAGTTTTTGGTGGGGTCTGTGGATTCACCTGTAAGTAGATACAAGATCCGTTATTTCTACAAATCCCAACCTGCCAAACACTCCAAACAGGATTTGCAAGACAGGTAGCCTATGAGACTTTTTAATAATTCAGCTCTTTCAGTTCTTTTACCGCAATCAGTTTGCTCTAACCAGTTTTCAATACATATGTATTGTAAAGAAAATCACCTTTAGATGATTTTTCTTTCGGATGAGTTATTTCTTAGATTGTAATTTATTTGGCTGCTAAAAAAACTTCTGTACTCCATATAAAGTTTTTGCAAAGCGAAATTTTTATATCATATTTTACATCACACACATCAAAATACATACATTAGAATGAATTACATACGTGAGAATCGTATTTCAGTATGAGAGATGAAGGTTTTTTAAATAAAAATCTTACATAATATCATGCAGTTTTTAATTTTACGTTAATGTGCATTGCTAGACTACATTGTGCATAATATCTATTTAAATCATGGTGTTTATAACATAATAGACTTTCCATTGATATAGTGGCAGGGAAAACTCGTTAATTGTGAGGGGTTGCACATAATCATATATGGATGTCTTAATTCTTAAAATAAATGATTTCAAAGGAACTTAATACAGCAGAGAACATAAAATATGAATATGTGTCATGCAATAATCGAGTTTCTTACGCCGCTGAATCAAAACATAATTTAAAAGTGCATTATTATTAGCTAAAAACTAAATGTTTCACCTGTTTCCATTTTTTCACGTATAGCACTTGTTTCACTTATTTTCCCACGTGTCCCAACATATTACACTTGTTTCATTTGTTCCATTTGTTACATCGTTTACAACTGTCGCGCCTGTGTCACTTGCATCACAAGTTGCACCTGTTTCACCTGTTGTTTCTGTTCCACTTGGCTCATTTGCTCTATCTGCTCCGTCTGTTGTATCTCTTACACCTGTAGCACTCGCTGAACCTAATACATCTCTTCTATTTGCTGCATCTGTTTCTTCTGTTCCATTTGTTTCACCGAATTCACATCCCCCATTGTTTGCAAGTTTGGTACACGGTTCAGTCAATAGATCTTTGTCACCGTGGAATATTTTATTATAAAAAAATCCCAATACACGAGCGTGAAATGCCAATCTAAAACCAATCAACATTAGAAGTACTCCTCTAAACTCCTTCGATTTATTTGGAAAGGCATCATCGATGATGGGAGTAAGATCTTCCACAACATCCAGCAATACAGAGGTAAATTTACTTAATGATTCGACGAAGTTGATTAAAAGTGCAAGCCAATAGAACCAATTCTTAGAAACTTTCTTATCGCGTACTCTCTCCCATAGGCTTCTTGTTTCTGTCGTTTTATCAGCAAGTAAAGGAACCCGATCCACAAAGTTTACAATACAGACAAGTGCTGTAAAAATAGGAACTGCAAGAAGGAAAAGAAGGGACGAAAAAATTCTTTTTCCAGAAAATAAGCGCACAATGTGAAACACGACAGTCACTACCATGAAGAAGAAAAAAGAACAAAAAGAACCTTTCTTATAGACAACTTTGATTTTTTCTCTTTTGAATTGGTATTCATCATCCCATATAAATATTATAATGAGGATTATCGATGATACGATTGACATGAAAAACCAAGCTATAATCCAATGTAACTCATTACCAAACACATGATCTGGTTCACAATTCAGGATCGATTTCTTTTCGAAGAGAATGCAACGCATGTCGTATTTTAAGAATACAACAGTACCTATTAGACGAGGTATGATCATGATTATGAACAGCTTCTGAAAAAAAGCATACAAATCTTTAAACCATTATTTCAAATTGTTTTGTCAATTATTCTTCACGACTACACACAATTACATCTTGCTTTTTTATGTGAAGTAAAGGATTCTATAAAATGAAATTATATCATCTATGCAATTTTAATTGTGCGAGTTTTCAAAAAAACACTGCGTAGAAAAGCAATGCTCCAAAGGTCCCAAGAAAAAAATAGTATTTAAGATTGGCACGTCGTTTTAGAGCCTTGAGATTTACTCAAAGCAAACGTACTTTCAAAACGATTAACAGCTTCATATCTTTGTTTATTGTCAGGGATCATAGAAGAACTTTATAGCAATATCTGAGAAAAAGCTGGGAGATGAATGAATTATGCATTTTTGTTTAGAAGCATTTGTGTATAAAAATATCTAAGAATGATGAATTTTTTTAAAGAAGTTTATAGAAATGAATAAAATTTCAAAGCTCTGATAAGCAGAAAACTTTATAAAATACAAAAAAACAGATTCCAAATGTTGACATCTTTTTTGCCTTATATTTTAGACAATGAATAAAAGTTTTGAAACAGAGTCTGTTATATTTATCTTTAGCAGTCGATCTTATCAACAGATTGATGGTGCAGCTATTTGCTGCTTTCAAGTATCTCTAATTCGCTGATATTCTATGTCTTTCAAAACTGTTTCTCCACTTTTAAACTCTTCTTTATCAATGTTACATTAATTATTGCTTTCTTTCTTTTAGATAATTGTATCATGTACCTCTCTTACTTAACTCGTTCTGGTTTCATTCCAATTAAGTATACAAACGCTTATCAAATTTTCATTTACTTCATAGAATGAATCCAATGAATCCAATTTCAAACATCAATAAAAATAGTTGCTTGCTGTGAGCGGTCAAATAGCAAAGTCAAATAAACAGCAAACTTCAAACGTTTTCTGTATGATTGCTTTGAATACAATTTTTTACAAATCTGACTAAAACGTTCCCTTCATAAAACGTGTGGTCTTTAGATTATTATGATCACTGAAACAAATAGTGTCTTAGAGAACATACAATAAAACATTTTTTAATAGGGCATTCCTTCGAGCCCCCATTTAACTTAAGTGTCACAGCTTTGGCTAATGCATCATCCCCCCGAGTTTTAACAACCAGACGACGCCATTGAATGCACTATAAGACACGATTTCTCGCAATTTTTCACAGCAGAAATTGATAAAATTTACATGTTCACCTCCTGAAGTGGGTCTGTTCACTATGGCGGCCTTCCACCTTGAAATTTAATTAGTGATTCACGACCTATGTAATATACATATCAATGGTTTCGACACGCATTTTTCTCAGATGTCGGATATTTGTCGGTGTTCATCGATAGAAATACTTCATGCAATCAAAACAAAAAAATCAAGATGGCGGCGATATGAAAAATCCATTGAACTAACATACAACTGGAACATTGAAATGAATATAACCGGAACGCTACTTTCAAATTGTTTGTATGAAGCCAAAATTTGCAGGACTTTACCTTCAGACACGCGGCAAAGTCCCGCAAATTTGGCTTCATTTGGCTTCATTCGTGATCCACTCGCGGGAGTGTTGTGAAGAAAACAAAGCTATTTGTCTATTTCATTTGTTTTGGTTGCGTTGTACAAAATGAATTTGAAAGAAAGTTTTTGTTTTATGGTTTTGAGTTAAAAGCTTGTGATTTGGACTGTAATAAAACGCGTTTTCAAACGAACGCAATTTTCGAAGGGAGTTGTCGATTGACTGGGAAACAAACGCCATTAACAGAAAAAACATTGGCGGCGTAAATAGTGCATACTTTCAAAGAGAATATTTTATCATATCAAGGGATTTGCAAATTTAAAAACTAAAATTTCAGAGCGAAACTTGTGTAACTTTTTCATGTGATTGATTTTGTATTTGTTGTATTTATATCTCTAAATAAAAACAACGAAACGTGTTGTCGAAACGTTTAGATTATTAAAATGTTACTTTTTACGGTGTGTCTATTGTGTTGTTCTGTACATTTTTTTGTCAAAGAAAAAGACCTTTCTTTTCCATTTTCAAACGATGAATCATTATCAAATCAAAAATATTTAACCTTGGTTAATAATCTTAAAAAATGATTTATTTTTCTAAAGTAAAGTTTTTTTAAAGTTTTTAATGATATGTTTTATAATTTTAAAATTGCCGTGTTTTCTCCTTGAGTGAAAAGACTGGGGAGAAGGTAAAGTTCCAGTTATATTCATTTCAATGATCTGTCACGATAAGTCAGAGGGTAAAATGAAACCAGATTTTTTCATTTTTGCAGATCGAACCAGTCTTTTTTAAAAAAAATTCAAAAAATAATTTATTTGTAAAATTTCAAAAGTAAACCATGCGGTAGTTTTTCAAAATACCATCGAATTTGAAGAATATTAGTCAAAATTATTGAATGTCAAAAAAAATCTGAAAAAAGTCATAGCATTGCCGAGAAATTTTGAAGCAAAGACGCAAATTACGAAAAGCCCGCGCGATTTTTGGTGATTTTCTGAGTTTTTTAAAGTTCCAGGCATACACAAACGTTTAAACCACCTAAATATTGTTTATCTATGTCAAATAAACTAGCCTATAAGGTTTCGTAAGAATTGAGCAATTTGCCAAGAGAAAAATGTGTTTTTTTAGAAGCATTTTTGATGCCACGAAAATACACCTACTGCAAATACAGCTCAGTGTCATAAAGACAAGTGAAGATCTTCGCAAAAAGAGTTCTTAAAAAGCTGTATTATTTGTTTGTAAATGTAGATCGTCCAGGTTGGTATAGTCCTGAGAAGGACTGTTTTTGTTGTTGATGACTGACGTTTCAACAGCCTTAGCGGTAGTCATCTTCAGAGTCATTTTTTTGACTCTGAAGATGACTACCACTAAAGTTGTCAAAACGTCAGTCAACAACAACAAAAACAGTCCTTCTCAGGACTATACCAACCTGGACGATCTACATTTACAAACATGTAACGATACTCCCGGGTTCAAACCATTTACTTTAAGCCATTTTATTGATGTATTTTTTAACATTCTGTTCCATCTTGTAGTACTAATTTGCCGATCCTTTGTCCTCTATTCTTGCAGAATATGTTTCTCCTCAAAAATACCTCGCTGTTGCAGGATATTTTTCTGAAGGACGCAATTTTATAGCAAAAAATGTGTAAAAAAACGACACTAAATTATTTTTTCACGTTTTTCTACTGCCAAAAAGCCTAAACAAACACCGGTCGCCGAAAAAACACGCATAGTTTCAGGGGGAGTTTAACAAATTTTACACGTCTTTTGGCTTCAGCCAATTATGCGACAAAACCATTGGACAGAACAATAGGAGTTATCGTTCCAGATGTATTTTAGTTCAATGGAAAAATCCAGATTTGCCCACTGGAGCCCTCTATTTGCAAAAGTTGGGACATGTATTGTTCTTTTGTTAACAAACAATGATTGAGAAGTATTGGTCAGCGACCATTGTGTAAAACTGCTCTTGACTAGGTTTACTTACGAAGGTTGTTTTCGAGTCAATAAAACTGTTGAATTGTTAGCACTAGGACCAAGTTTTCTAATGATTTTTTAGTTTTGTAACATTTAAAGCCAGTGCTTTATAGAAAGATTATGAATTATCATTATGTTCTGAAATGACTCTAATTCAAGCACCGCGGAGGATCAATAATTGGGGGGGGGGGCTAATATTCATACATTCATGATATGTAAGCTATAGCTCTTGAAAACCCTTGTTTTCTAAGGATTATAACATGAATATATGAATATGAGCCATCCCACCCCCCAATCATCGATCTTTCTAGGTGCTAAAGTGTATTTGATGACACTAGATGTCCACTTTGAAACTTAAACGCAACCCTTTAAGGCGCACGATTTTAATGATTTATTTGTGACTTTATTAAATGTAGCATAACGGTAAAGTATAGACTGAGAACACTGGAAATGCCATTACTGAAAACAAATTTCAAAAAATTTCGAAAGGGTATGCCGCCAGACCCCCTAAACACTCTGTGGTAATGCCGTATGGGCAATCTCACGCACGAGCAAATTTGAGCCTTGGCATCTATGACTTCAACAAACAGTTATGGCTAATCCAATATGCTAAAATAATATGATTTTGAATTTTGTATTTTTTATGTTTAGGTTATTCTTTGAAAGTACAGTATCAGTAATTATAAATTAAAGATTTACTGAAACAGCTGGGTAAAATAAATTACTTGGAATGAAATGATATTACTGTTGAAATGAGTTGCATAAATCCTTTTAGACTCTCGACAATTCTGTAGAAAGAAAAGATGACAGAAAGAGTCGTGAAAGTGTTGAAAGATTAATGCGTCATCCCATAAAGAAAAAAATAGAAAAACACGTATTATACAATTAAAACTTGGGTGTTCCGCTTCCAGACTATATTGCAGAAAATATCTTAACAATTAATGATGCTGGCAAAAGAGCAGTTGCTGCTTTTTGGACGAAAGATTGGTGAATAAATCTGTGCTACTTCATTACCCAATTCAAACATATAAAGTTCAATCTTTTGTTCGACAAATAAACAGGTTGAACTTAAAGATGCAGCAATAAAAGAGACGGTAGAGGTTAACAGAGAAATGTTGAGGGAAATTTTAGCTTTGTTTGCTAAGACACGCAGAGCAATAAACTCTAGGTTCGCCATGAAAATAACAGATTCCACACACGAGACATTACAAGAACATGTGTGTTTTTTGTATGGATTACGAAAACGAGGTGCGATATGAAATACTTCATCGAGAAATACTGCATACCAAATATTCAAATGAGAACAAGATCATTGACATGTTCCTTCCTCCTCCATGTCAGTCCACGTCAAAATTTCATTCAAGTAGAGCAAATTGTGTTGCAAAACTCTGAAAATCAGTTGCAGATTCCCAGTTACAGTTACCAGATATTTTTTCTCAGGGATGGACTAATAAATGTGAAATTAAATGGATGGACAAAACCTTTCCTAACGATATCGATGAATTGTTCCTGAATGAGATTGGCACAGATGTTTCATACTTCGGAGCAAATGAAGACGCCGACGAAGATTTTTAATAAACTTCTGGCAAAAAACTTCACCTTTAGACGCAACAATTGTAGAAAACGTTTGTGCATGTTATGTTAATTTATTGTTTTCGATACCGAAAATTAAAAAGTTACCATAAAATGAAATAAGTAATCAGTCAGGTGCCCATTAAATAGTTCTTTTCGAAGAACGCAATGTTAATCAAATGATGTTGATCATCAGCTTGAAATTTATTACACAGAGAAATTTCTGAAAGTTGTCTTCACCAGCAAGTATGTGGTGTACTATGCTAGTGTAAAACCACCAAAATCTCTATAAAACCTTACAAATTTCCAGATTCCTTAATTCCCTATTTCCCAGACTTCCTAATTTTCTGGTTGTCTAGTTCCTCAATTTTCTAGTTCCCCGATTCGCCATTCTCTATTTTAAAGATAGGAAAGGTTTTAATTTGTATTCCATGTCAAAAATAATCGCAGCTTATTATCGGTACTCATTGATTAAGTTCCATATCCTTTGCGACCCTCGCTCACAACAATCAAGTCAAAATTCAGGTTATATAAGAAAGTTGCATAAGAAAGTTGCAAGAAAAAGGGATGAAGCAAATAATCAACCAATATAGGTTCATATTGATAGGGCAGAACCTAACCCGGATGATTTTCGTGTATGTCATCCATTACAGCAAAGAAAAACGTAAACTACGCTTTAAATGTGTTGTAACGCCGTCAATCACAAAGTATATTGTATTGTTGTTTTGACTGCTTACCAGCCAATGACGTCACTACCGCTCGAGATAATTTTATGAAAATTTTATCCAAAACGGCAAAATTTATAAAACTTTTGCTACAAATATCTCAGCAACAAAATATTTTTGAAAAAAAATTTTGCTATTTTAGTTATTAGACATCACAAATTTATGCCATAAAGTTTTCGTTGCCAATGTCCTTCAACGAACCTTGGCTTTATTACCAAAACCTGCCTCAAGCATCACTTGTTTTGTAAAATTTATCCCAAAAAGATAATCAATCTGTAACCAAAAGATCGAAATCGATCTTTAACTACACTTTTACCAACTAAGTTTATAAGACCAAGTAAAGAACAACTTACCTTTAATAATAATAACACGTCATTCTTCCGTGGCCAATTGAAACTGCTCAAACAATTTCTTATTTTATTACAATTCCAAACGCTTGATTCGCATCCATGTTTGCAAGGACACATATCTTTTATAATACAGTAAAATATGAGACGAGGAATTGAGCTTATAATGCAGTATACAAAATCAACAATGAACAAGCAATATTCAACAAGCAATTCATAGCAATTTTTGTTTTCACTACGCGATGTATCTGCAACATTCCCTTGTTCGCCATTCTTCGAACTCGTGACTTCGATATGGAGTATCTCAGATTCAGACATTTTGTTTTTATAAAAGAAACCAAATTGTGTTTTGTGCTGCGTTGTTGTTGAAATGTTGTAATGCTTTTGTACGCATGAATTCCTCCTTATAAACTCCCCAACAGTGCTTAATTGCTTACAAAGGCTGGCTGGCATTAACACTGATAAATACAATGACATGTTTTCTATGTAATTGAGTAAGTTTCTGTGGTAAGTACTGGAAATGGAAAAACTGCATTGGTTTGTCTGTCGAGCAATCATTAAATTAAGGCGAAATCAAAATTAGCTAATTAACAAAATTCTCCAAATTGTTTTCATAGTGCGGTCACCCAGCATGAGATTTGGTGTAGATATAAGTGGAGTTATGTGCGGAATGACAAGAGTAAGATACTGACATATAGCTATAGTAACTTAAAAACTGTTCAGCATATGGTGAAAACTGTACAGCATATGATAAATGAATGACAAATTTTCCCCTTAACTGTCAGAGATGTGCATTGTGGTTCGGCATGCATTCATAATATGTAATGGTTGATTGGCAACAATGTTCTTAATAATATGAACTGACCAATGCAATAATATATATGTACGGAGTTTGGATTATTAAACTAAAATAAAAACATTTGTAACTTTGAAAATCCTATCTTGACAATCCTGTCTCAGATGGGTGATCTTCTCATCCCGAATCAAAGCATCTGTAAACTTTATAACATTTAGCATTACATTATTGGAATTTGGCGAATTTCAATGCTATTAAGCTCTCTGCATGAGGTTCTTATTTATGTGTTTCTATTTCTAAGACAATTTTTCATTTGGTGATGTATAATTACTTTTTCAATTAAAATGTTCAACATATATATATTATTAATGTTTATAATACTATTTGTTGAAGATCTTGACTCGCTCTTAAAGACGATGTACTGTTCTTGTATTTAGTCCAATGCAACACTTATCCATTATTCTTATTGTTTACATTTCGCTCTTTCACTCTGATCGCAGCATTTTGCTTGTATGTTAAATGAAAGGCAGTCCAGCATAAAGCAGATAATGCAAAAAATGTAAGATTAGAGCATGATCAATGTGTTCTATGGGATTAAGAGTCCCGAGCATAAGATAGAACTTAACGATTTCCAAATGATAGGGCTGAATATCGAAATCAGCAACTTTCGACACTATGTGAAGAATGCCATTATGTTCCAAATGATTTGAAGAATGTTGGCGTCAGAAAAATTAATTATTGGTTAACACGTTTTATTTTACAAGTAATGAAGAGGGATAGTTCCCCGTATCCTGTTAACCTTGTATATGCTATTACATGTGGATTGATGAAAAAGGTTCGATTTGAACATTCTTTCAAAGGACAATGCAAATTTCGACTCGTTTCGAAAAGCCTTGGATTCTGACATGAAAGAAATGACAGCTTTGTGAATAGGTACAAAGAAGCAATCGTCAGAACCTGTATCCAAAGATGACGAGGAGAAATTATGGTCTACAGGATTGCAACAACGAGAAGTTGACGTAAAGGAAATAAATCAATTTGCACAGGCAGCAAATTCTCAGGACTTTAATATCCAGTATGTGTCTTTGTTCATCAAAATCGAAATCACTATCATGTGCGCATAGCACAATTATTAGACAATTTTCATTTCCTCTAACATAAGGAAAATGTGAATCTGATAATATTCTTGTTAATTGTAGACGGACGGCTGGAGATATGATGTAGTTTCCGGAAGCCGAAGTTAAGGTCAATACAAAAACTCCGGCAGTGAGATTCTAGTAAACTTTGACCAAATAATTTCTTAAAATTCCAACAAAAAAACGTACGAAGTTATTGTTGAAGGAAAAGAAAAAACTTTCAGAGAAATAGAGAATTTTATATATAAAGGGCACATGTCGTCTTATTGTACTGACCACTGGATAGTCCAAAAAGGACATTTTTGTCCCAATAAACATATTCTGATACAAAACCCAGTTTTTTGTCGAAGTGCAAGAGTGATAAAAATTAAAGCATTGCGTTTGGTCAAAGCAAAGGTTGCAAATTTGGTTGTTACAATATTTGAAAAACCAATTAACAGTAACTAGTACCGCCACAAGGACAAATGACTAACATTTACACATCTGGCAATATGTTCTATATCATGTCCTACATGATCAATGATGTCTAAGCGAGTTTTTTCTCCAAGGGAAACTATCGTACCTGAAAAACGGTGTGCTTCACTTTCAAATTTCTTAAAATTTAAGCTATGTAAACATTCGACTGAAGCTGGACCTTTTTTTGAGGACCTTTCAACAGCGTTGCGTTATGGTTTTCAATACAGTCAAACTATTACTGAAGCTCACTCAGGGATAAGATGAAAGGGATTCAAAAAAGTTTAAAAGTTTTTAAAACGACCAAAGCGCAAATCTTATAACTACTTCAATTTACTTTATAACAACGGCAAAGATATTGTATATTTTGGTATTAAAACTCTTCCAGTAAACTGGGCAAAAAACTTAATAATTTTATTCCTTAGCGTATTCCTCTTGAAAGCATTTGAACTGTAGACAATCCTCGAGCTCTCGTTTTCGTTTTCCATAGAAAACTTCCAGCTTGGAGAGCACTGGATTAATTTTGAAATATAATTTCGAGAGCACAGAACAAATGAAAGCATAAAAGAAGAAGCGAATGTCATGAATATACTGGAATTGATGAGAAGAAAAAGACTGCAGTGGTTCGGACATGTGTGCCGGCGTGAAGAAGATATAGACATTCGGAGAGTTAATGAGATGCAAGTGGAGGGGAGACGGAAACGAGGACGCCCAAAGCATCGGTGGAAGGATACCATCAGGAGAGACATGCAGCTATGTGGTGTCAAAGAAGAGGATACCCAGGACAGAGCAGCCTGGAGAAGTCTGATAGAACTGGGTCTCCGGCAAAAACCCGCTACCCGAGCAGGACACAGCAGAGAAAGGTGACTAATGGTGACTTTTTCCAGTCTTGTGTTTTGTTCGAGTTATCTTTCTGCCACATGTCCGACACAAGTTGCTCACCTACATAACGCAGACCGGCGGCTGTCTAAAAGGTAGCACTCACTTTTTTATCGTGTTCTTCGAGCAATCTTTGACATTCTTCTGCCGTTTCACCATATTTTTTTAACTCAAGTTTATCTATTGCCTTCAGAGCCAGCTTTGTTGCAATTTGACATCACGTCATGAAAGGTTCTTGTTCTGAAAAAGACAACTTTGGAAGATAAAAAACTCTCCTCTTCAAAGTTTATATTAGAGACACCTCCTCTTTCTAAGTTTGTAACAGAGACACACCTCCTTCAAGATTATATTGGAGACATTCCCCTCTTCATGTTTACAGTAGATACAAAGATTTAAAGTGTGCGAAAAAAGTTGTACAATCTGGTATTACAGCAACTCTCAAACTTTTGAGTTTTCTCCAGGTGGATCAGTTTCCTTTCAAAGAAATCGTTGCAGAGGAGAGGAGGGGTAAGTAAAGGGTTACACCACTCGTGAACTTTTCTGTGCTTTTGATAAAAGTGATATAAGAAAGTTTTCATTTCCCAATCTATGCTATAACACCTTGACAGGAGTCAGGAACTTTTCAAAGTTACCATGGTAACTGGAGGCCTGTCCATACGACTCCATGTTCTTCCAAATAAGACATACCAACATCATGTAGCCACTGTAATACATAAAAAATAAACACAATACAGGACAAAAATTGTACCGAACACCGAATCATGGTTATCACGTGAGCATCATTTCTTCGAATATCCAAATTTTAAAATTGCAAATGACCGTAAACGATTCCGTGACTTTTTGACCAATTTTTTTGCATTATAATTGCGATAATGTCAGTACTATTTGGTGTCTTGATTGCTAATTTGAACATTGTGCATTTTGGAAACTTTACGGCAGTTAAAACTATACAAGGTAGTAAACTAATAATGACTAAGAATCTACAAGCGCATGTCGAATGTAACAACAAAATTACAATACACTAGCTACATGTAAAAGACCCTACGTCATGGCCCCAAACTTGCCATGCGGGTCCATGCAATATCCAACAAAAGCTTGTCCCTGCTATCTGTGCCGCAGACAATTGAGTTGGTGTCGTGGTCATGGCCCAATGCTTTGCAATAATACTTTTCTCACCAAATTCTCCAATGAATAAACGCTTTCTCTGAAAATCATCTATAATATCGTCTTTCTCTTCGCAGGAGCTGACAAACTAGTGAAGAAGAATATTGGAAGGAGATTGCTCTATGATTTCCTGCAGCATGGAAAAAGATCGCTTTTAGGATTATAGGTGATTTAGGGGAATGGCAAATATATATAAAAGAGTGCCGAAAAGAGTGACAATCAGTAACGAACAAACATCAGACTATGGAAAAGATATATCGACGACATCTTTGCCATAGTCAAGAAAGACAAAACTGAACAAATTCTGGACACCATAAACTATACCACAAAGAACATAACATTCGCTAAAACGAAGAGCACGACAAAAAACTTACTTTCCTCGACTTCCTATTGACCAGAACGAATGACAGTTTACTAAAACACAAGTATACCGCAAAACTACCCACACAGACCAAATACTCGATTTCAACAGCAATCAACCAACACAGCACAAAATAAGCTGCATACGAACACTTTTTAACAGGATCAACACTCAATGCAACACCGAAGAAGCCAAGAAAACATAACGCAACTATTTATACCATTTAACATTGACGTCGCCCACAAACCTACATAAAAACTCAAATCATGTTTTACCAAAGACAAATCAACAATTCATGATGCAACCGACGTGATCTACATGATACCATGTAAAGATTGCTCAAAGCAATACATAGGAAAAACATCAGAGAAAATCGTAATAAGACTCACAGAACACAAAAACGCCATAAAACGACGAGATCCGAACTCACTACCGGCAGAACATACGTATGCAAATAACCAAACCTTCGAGGTGACAGGAGCTAAACTACTCACACGTCAATTTAAAGAAGCTTGGTACAGTACAAACAACGACAAAATAAACAGACATATCGACATACCCATCATATA